AATGCTCTGATATTTACCTGATATTAATCTGTACTGGAAAATTGTCATCCCATTAATTTCAGGAAATGGCTGCTAAGTATTTTAGATAATGTCACTCCTACATTTTTGGTCATTTTTCCTGTTGACCTGCTGACCTGAGCTGACCTCAGGGAGATGATGATGAATCAAAACATTGCTTTTGTTAAAAGATGATGTATAGACCTCTCTTCCTCCTTTTTTGTTTTCCTGATTGTGAGCATACTTGGTCTTTTTTCCCTAGAAGAAATATAAACATGGCAATCCATTCAGCAGTTTGGATACAAATCCCTAAGAACCACGCCATCCTAAGTGATGTGCTGCCATGAAGATGACTTCGTTTTCAGGAAAATGTGTTACAGGATAAGATAAACTGAGTGTGAGTGTGTTTCACCTAAACATCAGGACACAGTCCTGTGATCCTTTCAATAGTTACTGACATGTCTGAACCACATAAAATAAACGCTGCTGCGGTCTGTTAGTAATTGATAAGTGTCCATGTTAAATAATAAACCCCTGATGTAACACATCATTTACCACTACTACCTGGACAAGGGTAATTTCATTGTAAAGAGAAGGTGATTTCAAGCACAGCCATGTAGAACCTACGGCGTGGAGGCTTCAGTCAGGGCCACATTTCTTTAGTGGCTGCTTGTTTGTTGGTTCACATTAAGCTTATCCTCTTTGTTGATTTAAGAATACGCTGCTTAGCCCAGAGACCAGTTCCTTTTAATCCCTGAAGTAAAGGCCAGTATGTATTCCAGTAATAACCCTATAAAGTACCACAAAATATACATCTCAGTATATGTACCAATACAGCGGAGACAGGCCAGTGCAAGATTTTACTGTTCCTGGAGGTAATAACTGCAAAAGTGTTATTGTAATGAAGGCAGTTGCTGTCTGAGAGGCCTGAGGTTTTTAAGGCTTGCAGTATTTCATTCAGATTAATAAACCTGAGTGGGATGAAGAAACGGCCGAGGAGAGAGCCTGCTCCCTACTCTCATTGTGTTTCTGTCACGTCCTGTGCAGATTATTACTCGCACTACATCAATCCTTTGTTCTGTCTTTGTTATCGGTCACTTCTGACTTTTCCTTCCCTTCTCATACTGTCTCTTTTTCTTGCACCCTGTTAATAACAATGTCCCAGCTTTCTTTGCTGCTGTCAGTCTCCCCAGGCTCTCCAAATAAAATCTATGTCAGATGAACTGCTGTCATATGCCTGAATACTCAATGTGCCTCCTGGTCTGTTCTTTTAATGACATCTAAACCACACTGAGTTTTCAGCAAGCGCCTACAACAGACAAATCTTGTAAATAGGACAAGAGAAGTTTTAAAATGCAGTCAAAAGAAGATAAATATTGTTCAAAATTTTAACCCTCCTGACTGTTTTTAGTATAAAATATTTTGAGACATACACTCACTGGACACTATTAAGCACATCTTTCTTGTGGGTTTGACCCCTTTTGCCTTTATAACTGCTTTAATTCTTCATTGCATACATTCAACAAGGTGATTCCAGCACCTTGTTGAATTAATCAGAGATTTGGGTCCATATTGACATGATGGCATCACACAGTTGACACAGTTTTGTCCGCCACGGCATATCTGTGGCATTTAAATGATGCTCAGTTGGTACTAAAGGGATCAGGTGACAAGAAAATATCTCCCACACCATCACAAGCAGCCAGCAGGGATTCATGCTTTTATGCTGTGTGACCAAATACTATCCGAACGCTGCAGCAGAAATGCGGTCTTCTGCTGCTACAGCCAATCTGCTTTAAAGCACGATGTATGTTTAGAGATGCTCTTCTGCATACCTTGACTGTAATGACTGATCATCTGAGTTTGTGTTCATCTTCACCCACAGAACTGACCCCTTCTAGACATTTTCTACTTTTTAGACTTTTTTCTGTAAATAGAGATGGTTATGTGTCAAAGTCCCAGTAGATCAGCAGCTTCTGAAAAGCTTACACCACATTCACTTAAACCAGCCTCCTTCCTCATTCTGATGCTCAGTTAGTCAGCAGGTCATCTTAACCATATCTACATGCAGAAATTAGTTGATGCCATGTGATTGGCTCATTACAAATTGGATTTGACCTGCAGGTTTGTGCACCTTTTAAATCTTGAGGAGACTCAAGGTGTGGGGACCATTTTGTCTGAGCAAACATGCCACACCTTATATCTCTTACAGTATAAAATCACATTACAGCAAGTTATTGGCTGTTTTCACCCCCACCTTTCCCACCTCCAATGCCTCTGCTCTGACACGACTTTCTCCTCATCTCTGCTCTTCTCCTTCACCTCATACCCCTCCTCTTCTTCTTCTTCTTCTTCTTTTTTTTGTTTACAGCCAATTAACTTTTCTCATTCTTCAGTACTTGTCTCTCTGCTGCTGCTTCTTTCACCCTTTAACTGCACAAATGCCTCTTTCATTCTTTTTCCATTTAGCTCATCTCTCTCTCCATTTTCTCTCTTTCTTAAGTTCAGTGTCTCTCTCTCTCTCTCTCTTTTTCTCTCTAGTGTTAGCTGCAAGCTGCAATATCACATGAGCAGAATGTCAAGTGCTTCCAATAAAGCAGACTGGCTATGTTTAGTCTTGTTGACAGACAGACAGACACACGTCTCCTCACAAAGCCCCATGTGGGATCACTCTACTAGTGATTGGCACACTTGCCTCCCTGTAAAGCTAATGCAGAGAAGACAACTCACATACAAATGCACGAACATAATTACGCACAAATATCCCTACACAAAAGAACACAGCACGTAAGGCTGAATTACAGACAGTGTATAGTTTATATATGGCACTTTGATACTTCATAATAAAATACCTCTGTGATAAAAGCTGTATTTCTAAAGTGTCTAATATTTTTAGGGTGGAGTTCTGCACAGAGCATGAAAAACTTGGGACCCATTAGCACATTCATACAGTTTGCGCACACTTTCACAAACATGATGAGATGATACACAAAAGACGTCATATCTGTCTACTTTGTCATTAAAGCTAAGAGCTGTGAAATAAAGTTAAGAGAGAACTACATCAGTATTCCACTGAGGAAGTGGGGCGTTTTAAGAGTCTTTAACTGGTGTGATAGATGATTAGGCAGCAGGGCCAAGGTCAATTATTTATCAATTTACATCTTTCAGAAAGTAATCTGTCAGGAGAGCTACTCTGGTTGGGAGATTTTCACGGATAATGAAACCATAAAGAATGAGCAGCCATGAGCCCGTGTGTTAAAAGTTTAACATTTCATTTTTGAATGTGCTGAATTGAGTGCCGTGCTTGAATTTGAAGAATTTACTGAGAGACAGTTGGGAAATCAAAAGATCATATACAGCTTACTGATGTGAGGGTGTTCATTTTAGTGGGTACAGCAGGCCAGTGTCAATGCAATAAACACAGTTACAAAAAAGTGTGCAAAAGTCTTGAGCCATTTCTTTATATTTTGCTTACAAGGAGCGAGAAATTCTTGTAATGTTTTAAAGTGCTCTTTAGCTATAGTTCTCCAGGCTTTCAAACACCTTAAAATAGTAATAAGGTGATTCCCAAAGAGCTATTAGCTAAAAGCTTGGCATAACTCAGCATGGCGTGCAGTGTGTCCTTAAAAAAATTGAGCAAACTGAACAGGTAGAAGACAAGAGAACAAGTGGCATGTGTAAAAGAAACCTATCTACAGCAGATGAACAGCATCTGAAAGTTGTGTCCTTATGAAACAGGAAAGCTCCTTGGACAGCAGGAGCTGAGAGATGCAGCTGACCCTTTAGCTGATCCATTCAGAAATGCTCTCGGTAGAAGGGGTGGATGTCAAGAAGCACCTCTTAATGAAAGGAAACTGGGATAAAAGACTGAGGTACTTCAAATTACACGAGAACTCGACTGAAAATCAGTGGCAACTGGTCTGATGGAGTAATGAATCCAAATTTCAAATTTCAGGTCCAAATTGTTGATGGAGATTAAAAAAAAAAAAGGTTCAACAGTGAGTGTCTACAGCCATCTGTAAAACATGGTGAAGGCTCTGTCATGGTTTGCATTTCAGCAAGTGGTGAACATAGAAAAGACAGATAGTGATCCACCATGTACACCACTTTGAAACTGTCTGATTGTCAGTGGCTTCACACTTCAGCGTGATAATGATCTCAAACACACTGCTAATATAGTGAGATACATACATGAAAAGAAAAACACACAATGCAACACATCAGTTGTGGACTGATCTCCCCAGAAACCAGACCTCTAGTTAGCACTAGACTTAATCAGCTCCTACATATGATTACATCCACTTTAAAAAGCCTAAGACTCCAACAGCCAAAGCACTAAACATCCAGTAGGTGGGCACATTCATCTTTGTCATACAGTTTGTTATTTACCCTGTAGGTGTAGGAATTGCATTTTCTAGCCAAGTAAGAACAGATATTGCAGGCTGGTAGTAACATTAGGACCTATGTTTTGTTTAAAACTACTTTTAAATATATACATTTTAAATATTTTGTCCAAATTTTGTCCAGTCATAGACAAGTTTAATTGTTCTGGCTTGGCAAAAAATAGCTGCAATGCAGATGTAGTGAGGGGCTGTGTCTCACCGACAGTGAGGGGTCGTGGGAAGTGTAGCTGGCCCAACGTTCATTCTCCAGCTCCTCCATCACCTACAGCATGCACGGAGAGAGTCAGGGGTTTATACACATATTGCAAACAGGCAGACACATACACACAAAATATACAAACTACAACAAAAAGAAGTGCTCAAAGATATGACTGCAAACACAACCATACGCATATCAAATAAATCTTCACACAGGTCAGAGACATGCACATGAGCACACAGCATACCTGCATGCTTTCCCAACACTCACTGACAATACACACCTGGTTCATGGCGCTCTTTAGCCAGGTATCCACGGCAACCCCAACTTGGCGTAGAAGGTCCAGCCGAGCTTCAGCTTTCAACTTTATTGTCTTTGGAGAGCAAAGAGGTTAAGATTGTTAAAGAAGCACATGTACCAAGGCTGCAAAGTCCAATATCAATCTTTAAAAGAAAGGATGATATAAAACACTATACAAATGACTGGTTATTAGCAAACATGCTAATAATGCTCCAACTACCTACATAAACGATGGGATTACTAAAATGCAAGGTCCTAAAGAAAAAGATGGAAATTACAATGAAGCTGTATGTTAAAGGAAACATAAGGAGTTCTTTCTACTCATGTCACAGCTTTCATTTTGACATCTTGACAGCTGCACGAGTTCTGTTCGATGCAAACTGAATTTTCACCCCAAAATGTTTAAAAACTGGGTTACACAGTCTCCTAAGCAACAAATCATCAAAACTTGCTGCACACTAATGAGACTAGATGATGATGCTATATCCACCAGTAGAGGAACCCCTGAGATTTACATTGAAGCTCTCTCGCATCAGCTCGCTCTTATCTCTAATCCTGTCTCCTTTTCCTTCTGTCTCTCATTGTTTTCATCAATTTCCTCTTTCATTACCTGCTTCTTTCCTTTCTCACCAGTGCTGACAGAGCAGACTGATAGCTGATAGCTCCATCCCACAGAGGCACGGAGTAAGACAGAAAGACACGCCGTCAAGACAGACTCCCACACTTTGATCAATAAAGGCCTGAGCCACTTCATGGGCCTCAGTTTTTCCCTTCCGTTAGCAGCACCTAACAAACACCAGCCTTGGCTTTTGCTACTGAACCATAAACATACCAGACTAAGATGGGGACAAATAATGGCCATTACACTGCTAGCAACTGTACCTTAAGGAAAGCTGCAGCACTAAATCATTAATGTAAGTCAATATGAAGCACAGCCAATCGTGTGAGTGCAAATCACATGTGGATAGAGTGCACACAGTCAGGCAGACAGAGCATCTATAATCAATACTAGCAAAACTGAAAGAAATAGAAAAATAGATGGAGGATAGATAGATAGAAAACTCGCAGGGAAAACCAGGACATCAGTAGCTTAGCAGATCATCTGGATCACCATCCATCACAATAAAAAGCCCATAAAAGTCCATAAAATGACAAATGTCACCTTGACCTTGAGCACAATTTGGGTGGAGACTCGGCTGATCATTGTGTGCAAGTTGCACTAAAGTCTGATCAATACCTGAGGAGAAGCAGCGATTTTTGTGAATTGTGAACAGACAGACACCTCGCCGTGACATGAGCTCATTAGTACTCTGGCCAGCAGAACTGAACATCAGGAGTCCAGCTGTAAATCAATTATTGATTTATGATTGAATTATTAAGGATTCTGGGTTCACGTCTTGTACAAAGACCTCTACGGAAGTCAAACTGTGTTATACAAAAGGTGCTACAAACAAGCATCTAAACACATAACAGCAGCTATGCTGATAAAAGCAATAATGTGGTATGTGAGCTCCTTGTGATAGACAAACAGCAAAGAAGAGTTATTTAAACTACAAAAGGCACAGGGGGACCACTGCAATCACTCCCTATATGTACTGTAAGTTTTCACAGTGCATTCTGTCATCATCTCAGCAAACCAACTGGTCTGGGTTGGTTTGCTGAGACTCATGGCTATGTCTATGCCCTATTTATTCAATTGTGCTCACATGTCAATACACATAGTGTAGAAAAATATGAGCAGATCCACTCAGTCAACTTTCCAACTCTTGTTAGTTTTGCTTGCTTGTAGTGAAATACTTTTGAGAGCACAACCTACTCCCTGCTCTGATGTTGTGAGTCAACAAGGCCAGATTGTCTAGTGGAGGCAGTTTGAGAACAGCCTCCGACAGCTACGTATGGAAACAGCCCCTTGCCTCAGCTGTTCTCACTCCCACCCCCTCTGAGAGCTTCTTATAAATAGGAAAGCAGCAAAAATGCCCATAATCGTTTATTTTAAATAAAGGAATTTTAGATTTTGGTTTAAACTTGTACTTCAAAGCATAAAAGAGCTGGTAGCTTTAAAAATTTAGGATTTTCCATTAAGAGAAATTGGAGAAAATCTTAATCTGATTAGCTTCAGTCCGAATGACCTGCACACAGTATGTATCTCCTACAGCATATGCAATACAACTGCCATGTGCCTCTCTCTGACAAATTAATGAGATCAAAAGTGTTCCCTTCATCCCAGTGCTGTGTTTTCTCCTGATATCTGATCTTGGGAACATGTTGTTTTATTAATTAGCTTCAGCAGCGCATTACAGGCTAGCCTGGGGCATACTATATCATTTATAAAAGAATATATAACGCATTTAATTGTATATTTTGACCATCTGCACTTGTCTTTTATCATAGCAAGAATCACTCATATCACTTAGTTATGCTGTTAAGCCTTGTTATGGTAATAACTGTCAAGCAGTTTCAGAGAAAGACACAAACAGGCTCATCTATAGAGCACAGAATACATAACTCTTCCCTTTCTGTCAGTATTTACTGATTCCACTTTAGAAAAATTGGATATCTGTGGAGACTGAACGGTGCAAACTATAACAAAACACTGAAAAATAAATACAGCGCTATAAAAAGTGTGAGGCGTTTCATTTTGTATAGTTTTTTGTGACCATCACAGAAACAAACAAACAAAAAAACTCGGCCTTGCTTTTTCCAATCATGTCCACACAGCTAAAATGCATAATCCTGTCAATATAAACCTCCCAGCCTCCCTTGGCTTTTTAACATATTTAATTAAAGATTTGGCTAAAACCGTGGGCCAACAAATTTACATATATGGTTTTTGCTTCATGTTTGTGATAAAAAAATGCTCATAGAAAACTGTAAAACAACAAAAAAAAAACAGGAAACTTGCTGACATTTTCAGCCTTTACATTAAAATTAGAAGCAGCTATAATGTTTTATCTCAAATTCACAACTTCTATTTTCGACACAGTTTCACCTGCAGTTTTATATTCAATAAGCATTTCAACAGTTGTTGTTTTAACTGTAAACACTGGCTTTAAACCACAGCTTTAACTACAGTAAATAATAACAGTCTTGATTACTGACTGATTGTAATCGTGCAAGCTTAAGCAGGCATACCAGATAGTCTGCTTGTTATGATATGAGATAGAGACTGCTTAGCCAGAAAAACACAAATTCCTCAGAAATGCAGCACTTAAATATTTAAGGGAACAACTGATCATCACAAAAAAACTTAAGTTACTAAGCTAATGACATTTAGACGTGCAAGACGCTGCCCAGGATGCCCCTGCATAGATTTCACTTAGTGGAACGCCTCATGTGGCCATAACCCTGGTACACTGACAACTAACATCTGAAGGGACAGGTGCACCTGTTACTTCGTACACCCGTTTTACTGTGTCAACAACTCAGTGGGAAAATCCCTGCTTGGACAGAGCTTTTCCCGTGTTCTTCCTATTATAACTAATAAAGAACTGCTCTGAGCGTCTAAAGTTCTGTGTTTCCCTAATCTATAGACACAAAAAATCCACTGCATCCTCCACTCTGATCTAAGGGGGGAGGGTCGCATGCCTGAAGTTCTATGGCTTCATTAGTATGGCTGGATGTCAAGATCTTGGGTAGAACAGCCACATTTGGCCACAGCATTACTTCAGAGCCATCAAGTTTCCAGCATAAAGTACAGGTTTGAAAGAGAGTACATGGAGCTCGCTAACTGTTGCAGCTGCTAAAAGAAAAACACTTTTTAATAACTTCTCCATCATGGATATACCTGCGTAACAGGTGACCTGCCCAGGTCCTGCAAGACCAATGCCAGGTCCCATGCTGCAAGCCATTTCCCTCTAGGGGGCAGACAACTCTTGGCACCATGCGGAAACTGCATTACCCAAAAATGCATGCTAAGGGACCAACTCTTGATATGGTCATGGTTTACCCATACTGCTACCAGATGAACCCTCAGATGGCCAGGCTTCAAAGGCTGCTGTAAGCATCTCTAGCAGCTTCAGGCATATTTGAACAGCCACTCTTACCCTGAGCTGAACGGACTCGAGCAGAGCCTGAATTCCAGTCCCTCTCAAGTTGACCGTCCCATCATGGATGCAGAATCTAGAGACAACTTGTTGAAGTTGGTCTGCTGTGTTGGACGTAGGGAGCTTTTGTCCCAAATGACCAACATCCCCCCAAGGCCTCGAGGTGGTAAACTGGATTGTTACCTGTTCACCCTTGTTGCACAATGAGGCACAAATCCAAAGATCAAGGTAAGGTATTATCATTATACCTGACAGACTTAATAATCTCAGGGCTGAACTCATGCGGCTTGTAAGGTGAGGGAGAGGTTTAAGGGGGTAAACTGATACACCAGTCCCCGAAAGACGAAACACAGAAATCACACACAAATGACATCTGTATACCTGGTTGCACTACTGGCTGCTGAAAAGGGTGTGGCCCTGAAGCGAAACAACAGCCTGTAACCCTGAGAAGTTGTTTTCAAAACCCATGTATCCTGTGAATTAACTGCTCAGTAGTCCAGCTGCTGTTGCAAAAGTCTGCCTAGTGTTTGTTGTGTTGGCTGTCGAGGGGGGATAAGGGGTTGTCTTAGTGTTGCCTCTCTAGCACACCTGTTGTCACTCACCTGCACCAGTTTATGCTTCCTATCCTGACACACTGATATGAAGTAGGAAGTCTAACCGACTTCCTGTTATACTGTGATGACCAAGTGTTCCCTTAATATTTTTGGGTAGTGTAACTAATGTATAGGCCTGGCTTGGCTTTGTGATTGATATTGCTACTGGAAAAGGCTTGATGGAAGGAAGATGGAGCTAATTCACAGATAATACAGATAATGCTCCCATCAATAATACAAAAAATACAGCTAATGTTCCCATCAAACCTACATAATGTCTTTTGTCCTGCTTTCACTCCCTTTATAAATCTGTGATAAGAGGTCTGTGATAAAGCCATTAGTATCAAAGAGCTCATAAAATATTCACCATCTTAGTCAAGGTAATGCTGGTCTAGAAGAGAAATTAAAGGGAAGCACGAGAGAAAGACAGAGGATGAAGCACAGAAAAAAAGGTGACGTGGACACATGTTTGCACTTTGCTATGAAAAGATTCTCTAATTATTTTGAGGGAAGTGAGATCACAAGCTACTGATAGCTGCTAAATTATTCGAATGCATGACGACAAAGCAAATGTTTCTTAACTTGACAGCAGAGGGTGCCAAATATGCAAAAGCCTGATAACAAAGGTAGTGTGGAGCCAAAGAGGAAGTTAGATAGAGAATGAGCCAAATGCAATGAAGCTGAAAAGCAGAATGAATAGAAATATAGACTTCTGGGAGCGAACAGAGAGGATTAGGCTGAGAAGGATAGCGCACGGTGCAGTGATCTCATTGAGTGTTGACAGGTTCAATCTGTGGGAATCGATGCGCAATCAATAAGTATCTGGCTAGGGTGTGTAGAGGGAAAAGAGTGGGAGGATGGAAACAGAAAGAGGTACATGTGGATTGAAAGCCTGAGGAGAAAGTGGTCAAAGAAACAATAAAAATATGTGATCATCTGACCTTGTATCAACATTTTCATTATAATAAAATAAAATAATCTAAAACATTACAGCTGTTTTTAACCTACAATGCGTCATACCTGCATGTAGTAACAGTGGGATATTAAGAGAAATGTAACTGTAAACTATGACATACATCAAGGATGTAATTAATTAGTTTTTTCAGATTTGTGTAGGTGAATAACATAAATGATCTGTCACATCTTATGCTGGCAAAAGTGTGACGACAACTCGTGGGCCGTGCTTGTTAAAATATACCCTGCTACGTCAAAGAAGCTGTGCAGAGTGAGAGCATACGGCCAATTTCACTCTTCATTCAATTCAAAATACATCGGCCCAAAGAGTGGGCAGCACTTCAACTCGTTTACAACGATATGCAACATTAAGTACTTCTATGTAAATGTGTACCACAGATTTCATGGTGTTTCAGAACAACAAACATTAGCCATTCATTAGAGACCTATTAAAACAATGAAAAATAAGCTTCCCGTACACAACAGTAATAACACAGAAAATAACATCTGCTTATTTTTGATATCAATATCGCATCACAGATTTTTTCCTTCTCTTTTTTCTTACTTCTATAAAAATAAATCTCATGTTGCTATCCAAGGCAGACTCTCTTGGAAACGTTTTTTTTCCTGTTCGTCCCTTTATGTGTCAGCATTAGTGCACATACTGCAAAACGTTCTGTGACAGGCCGCTCCATAATAAGTACTCAAATAAATTCACGCTGTATTTCCAAAGTTTTTGTTCTGAACATTTGTTGGAAAAGGATCATCTATTCATCTGTTCTCTGTATCCTTGTAGCTCCATGCGGCGCCCAGGTTTTGACAGGATAGAACAACTGACACGTTACATTCACCCACATTTTGGTGTTTTCACTTCACCTGACCTTGCGTGCCTTTAGACTACGAGATGAAAATAAAGCACTGGGAAAGAGAGCTACATGAAAACGGGAACAAAGTGCAAACACCATACGCACAGGGTTATATTTAAACACAGACCCTGAGACAGCAGTAAACGTTGACGATCTGAGTCACACACCTCGGCTTTGCGCATGTTTTCTTTGGTGTCTTCGATCTTCATCTCCAGATCTAATCTTCCCTGCTCTGTGGGAGGCAAGCCGTGGCTCTCACACTCCTCCAGAGACTGACAACAACACACACAAACAGAGAGAGTGATTAGAACAGGAATGTGCGTGCACTTTAAAATTAACCTGATTAAGATTCACATGTTGCATTTCTAAAACGTGCAACAAATGTTTGTGAGCGTGTCTGTATGTGTGTGTGTGTGTCCCTCTTACTCGCTTGTAGTGAATGATATTCTTGTGCTCTCTGGCCACCCTGGTTGCCCATTTCCTGGCCTCCTTGTTCAGACTGTGCTCCTCTGTCGTCCCCGACTCCGACTCCAGCTGACGACTCTAATATCCCACACACAGCCGCACAGAGACACGCCACAGCAGCAGGCAAACACACAAAAATACAGTGTCAAAAACAACAGCTCAAGGTGTGCAATACGCAGAGGCTGTTAATTAAGCTAAAGAAAGCAACATTGTTTCCATAGCAAGCAATTAATACAGTGTGTGTTGCGATGCTCTGTTGTTACCTTATGAAACAAAAAGCTGCTATTAAAACCACATGTGAAACACCATGTGTGTGTTTTTTCTGTGTACTACAAAGTGAGAGAAGAGGAGGTGCGTGTTGACAGCACTTTTTGCATGTGACTTTATTTTGTTGCTTTTTTAAAAAAAAAATACTACAGAAAACACGCGGGGTCAGTCAAGGAATCTGCATGGCCTTCCAATTAAACATCTGACATCAATTATAACCATGCAGCCAAAGTGAATCCTGAGCTCATGCACTTAACAAAGAGCTTTTCTTATTTCACATGAAAGATTTCTATTTTTTTTCTCTCTTTCTGTTCTTTGTCACTGCTTTGAAGTGGGCGGGGATTCGCCGGGAAAAGGTCATGTTGCATACTTCTGCCCATCATGCATCATTTAGCAGTATGTGAATGAAAATCTGGTGACAGCTGGGAGGTTCTTTGGCCACTCTATCAAATTCTGATAATAACACACCCACAATATCCAGATTAACTATGTTGGATGAAATATTTCTTAATATTTTAATAAAGAAAACAAAAACATCATTTAATTTGATTCAGTCTTCTTTAAACAACTGATCCTGATTTCATAGAAACATATTTGCATTTTTAAAGCCAGATTTTTCAGTTTAATCATAATTATTTGCTATTGTGGTCCAAAAAACATGACTCAGTAATCAAATTATACAGCTGTCTGCCATGGTCCAAAGAAACCCTGAAAAAAAGACTGTTTTTGGTTACTTGTTTACAAATATGACTCAGATTTGATCTTTTCATTTCTATCTATTATAAATGCATCATAGCAGGGGCTGAAAAACAAAAAGGATACTTTCTAGTAATTTAACAATGACCCACTCCAGCTTCCCTCGTGATAACTCAGATCGAAATCAATGCAAAATATCTTGCAAAGACTTCCATGTATAGACATTCGTCGTCAGTGCTGTGTTTGCACAGACCTGAGAGGTTTGAGTTCCCATAATCTGATAATAAAAGTCTGTTAGCCTCAGCTAAAGTACACAATATTATAATTATACCTTTTCATGCACATCATCTCTATTAATTATGTGCTGATTCTGTAACAATAGGGCATAAATCTGGCTAAGTATAGGTGTAAAACCAAGTGTATTACATGGGAGATTTACAGCTTAATTACATTCAGGCACAGGAGAATTGCAGCAAGTTAAGGGAGAGGGCAGGAAACTCGATTAGAACAGTGGCTCGAATATGACATGCCACGAACCTGCATCTCAGTTTCCTTAAATTAGAATTTCAGATAGTCTGCCAGCATCTACAGTTATGTGAACAGTAAAAAAAAATCATCTGATCCTTACCAGGTCTTAAATACAAGCTCAGATGAAACACAAAACATCTCGAAAGACAAAGCTAAACCGAAAACGTAGAAATAGTGTGGAAAACCTAAGTACACCCCTACTGCTTCCACAGGAGTTACGAGGGTAAGTAACAGCCAGGAGTTCCTAATTAAATGCAGATTATTATCCGATCATTAGCAAATGTAAGCACATCTATAAGAGCAGAAGTTTTGTCACTCTGTCGGTGTGCATAACACGATGCCAAGGAGGAAAACATCAGCAATGATCCTCAAGAATCAATTCTTGCTCCCCATCTCTTTGAGAACATGTATATGGTCACTTTTTAACAATTTCAATTCCATCATTATACAGAGAAAAGGATTATTCACAACTGGAAAAGATTCAAGATAGTTCAATCAGCTAGAATGTCCTAGCAAATTCCCACCGAGGTCGGACCGTGCAATGCTCAAAGTAACTGCAAAAAAACCCCTAAGAGCTACATCTCAGATACTACAGGCCTCAGTTAGCATGTTAAATGTTAAAGTTCATGACAGTACAATAATAAAAGTGAACAAATATAACTTTGGAAGGGTTGCCAGGAAAACGTCTCTTCTCTCTAAAAAAAACATGTTAGCACAGCTTGGGTTTGTAAAGCTGCATCTGAACAACCCACAAGACTTCTGGGACGAAGACCAAAGTGGTGATGTTTGGCCATAATGCACACCAAGCATGAAACCAAACACAGCATAACAGCACAAACCTCATACCCACTGTCCACCACGGTGGTGAAGGAGTGAAGATTTGGGCTTGTGTTATAGCCACAGGACCTGGGCACCTTGCAGGCACTTAGTCGATAATGAATTCCTCTGTATACCAAAGTGCTCTAGAGTCAAATCTGAGCCCATCTGTCTAGTAGCTTACTACATTTGGCTGAAATGGGGCCATACAACAGGACAATGATGAAAGAGATATGTGCAAATACCTGCAAAGTTCCTCCACAGTGACAGGAGAGACTGATAAATGGCATGCAGAAAATGACTACTTCAAGTTATTGCTGAAAAAGGTGGATCTACAAGCTGATGAATGAGGGCGAGTACTCATCTGAGGTATTGTATTTAAATAATTTTAGAACCTGGTAAGGATCAGATTATTTATTATGATGTCATAATACATAAAATCTTTGAAATAAAAAAAGATCCACTCCCTTTCACATGACTGTTCATACTGCAAATAAATTCTAGTGCTCATGTGAGTCATGTGACTTTCTGCATCACTTTTGTATCTTCCTGTTGCACACTGATTATCTCGTTACACCCAAACAGATCAATCAACCTGCACTCTAAATGTCTTTATGGACAAAGGTGAAATATTATTTTATTAAATCATTTAATAAATTGGAAAATAACAACATTAGCAATGACTGTAGGTGCCATAATAGGCACAACTATAAACAACTGACCTGACATATAAGGGAAAATGGTGTCATCATCAAAATCTAAACCTTTTTCAGACTTAAAGAGGCAGACACATTTAGATACAGTCTTCTTGCAGGTTATTCACTCATTCTGAACACATTTCTTGTCTTAGACACATATTATTATAAGAAAAAAAATGTCAGAAAGGGTCTAGGACTTGTTATGATTTAATGCATTTGCACAGGTTTTTCTCTGAATAAGGCTCTTGCTCTTGTTCTACAGTTTTTAGAAACATATCACTGTCTTAACTAATAAAATTCATCATGCTGAACAGCACATGTATCACAAATTAGCCAAGGCAGCAGTATTTCTATGTGAAGTGTTTTAATGGAGTTTTAAAGAACTGGGTGCCTAGGACTCCAGTGTTTCTACACAACTTGCATTAGAGCAGCAGCGGTGCATTCAGACTGCAGCAAATACCTGCCTATGATTATGCTTTTTTATGCGTGTTAAAAGCGAAAGAATGAATTGAGTTCTCCTAAAATAGCACAGAGAAAATGTATGTGTACAACTACAGAGTTGCTTGTAAACCACAATATGATGTCTACATTCACAACATGTAAATTTAATGCAGTGTTAGCTTTAGTATTATTTCATATTTTATGTTTTATGGGCTTATCTTACACATGCAGACACAAAGAATTCAATAATCATCATGTAAGATATACGTAGCATGATTTTGAATGGAAATCAGGACACATTCAATTTCCAGTGATTACATCTTGAACCCATAACAAATTTGTAAAGGAAAATTACACTAAACTATGACACATCAGCTTTCAGGATGTTGATGACAGTATGGTGATATTTTAAAAGATGACATAAGGTTACGGCATCAGATGAGTCATGACAATGGTCATGAGAAGCCAAAGCCACCAAAGGTATTCAGCTATCGTGCACGTGTGCCTTCATTGCTTGATTATGATGAAGCAACTAGAAAATGCAGGAAACATAAAGAACTTCTTTAAATAGACCTGTAATGGCTGAACCGCCTCAGTGTAGTCAGCTGTCGTTGCGAGGTTTATGTCAGGTGGAATAGTTGTAACAATCAGGTGAACTGTGGCCTTTTTAGATATGAAATAAGAAAATTTCATCAGCTGCTGCTCTATTCTCTGGTTTGATTATTCTATTGGTGCACAAAAGCAAAGTCGCATTGAGCAGATAAAATCTTAACATGTAATTCAGAAACTCCCACATATTTGTCATGTTTATTTTTAGTTCTCACGCCAACTATGTGGATGATGTCATAATCCTATCTGCAGCCACTTGTGTGGTTATCCCAGAGTGTCTCACGGTCTTGTTACGGTGACAGATGGACATAAAAAGTCGGGCAGTGAAAGTTCTTTAACCTCCGCTGTATTTCAGTAAAAGGAGAAAATCGAACCTAAAAAACAAACAAACCATACACTATTGTTTTATTGTCTGTGGTTAAAGTGCTGACTGCTGTAGGCCAAAATCAACAACCTCCTCCCTAAGCCACAAAGCTGAGAGCCATATAAAAACAGATCATTTATAAAGCACAATGATGTGTTAATGACTATTAACAAGACATCTCTTTTCCAGTAATAACAAAAGAGCTCTGGGTTTTATCACTACATAGTGTGCTGTCAGATTTGAGCCCATCCTCAGCTGCTTTTCTCAGTTATTCCCAACACACAATAATACTTTGCTCACCCTCACCGCCATACTGTATGAAGTCTTGGTGCTCCAACTGGTTAGAGCACAATTTCTGTTTAAAAGAGGGATGGGCCCACACTGCTCTCCAAGATACTTGGAATATAAAGGTTATTCTAGCTGACTAACTGTCTGCCTGTCAATCAGAGTTAGATCACAGAAGAAGTCCCTGCCAAACAGAGCATGTCATACTTGGGCGTCTAGTTCAGCAAAGTTTAATTTAATGTGTGTTAACATTGATTTGTCATGTCACTGAGTCGAAAAAGTGTCAGCTCACTGACACTACAGTTGTTTTTAAAGAAAATTATAATGTAAAGTATCATCAAAAGCATCATAATCACAGGCAAGGAGATCCATAGTGACAACATTCGTAAATAGTGTGCATAACTATGAAAAATCAAGTATTTTTCTGTCTTTTTTTTCTCACTATAAAAAGGTCATTCCGAGCATGCGCTAGAAATCTAGGGAATATAACTTAAATTGAAAGATTGCTACCAGTGAGGGCAAAGTCTTTGTTGTGGGTTAAAAAGGTTTCTCTGTTGGGTGCCTATGAACACACACTCACCAGCCACTTTATTAGGTACACCTATTTAACTGTTTATTAACAAAAATATCTAATTAACCAATCACATGGCAACAGCTAAGTCATGTAGCCATGAAGACATAGTCAAAATGACCGGCTGAAGCTGATTTGAGCATAGCGTGGTTGTTGGTCCCTGACTGGCTCGTCTGAGTGTTTCAGAAACTGCTGATCTGCTGGGATTTTCCCACACCACCATCTCTAAGGTTTACAGAGAATTGTCCAAAAAAGAGAAAATATCCAGTGAGCTGCGGTTCTCTGGGAGAAAATGCCTTTTGATGCCAGAGGTCAGAGGAGAATGGCTAGACTGCTTTAACTCACGTATGAACCTCAAAGCAGATGAGCTGCACCAGCAGAAGGCCATAACAGGTGCCACTCCTGCTCGTTATAAACAGAAAACTGAGGCTCAGACTCACCAAAATTGGACAATAGAAGTCTGGAAAAACTTGGTATGGTCGTGATTTCTGCTGCAACAGTCAGATTGCAGAATTTGGTGTAAACAACATGACAGCATGGATCCATTCTGTCTTATATGAACTGTTAGTGTGGGCAATATTTTCTTGGCACACTCAGTACCAGCTGATCATTGTTTGAATTCCTCAGCCTAACTGTGTATTGTTGCTTCCAGTAGGATAACGCACCATGTCACAAAGCTCAAATAATATCAAACTTGTTTCTTGAACAGAACTGGTGAGTTCTCTGTACTCAAATGGACTCCACAGTCACCAGATTGCAATCCAATAGAGCACTTGATGTGGTGAAACAGGAGATTGATTATCCAGTACTAGCAAGGTATAACTAATAAAGTAGCCTGTGAGTGTATGAGGTTTCAGATTTTTCCAGAGCCATGCTGAAACATCAATCACAGCCTGAGGTGTTAAGTTAAACTGCATTATTACGCTTTGTTTGGCTCATGGCCGACTGAAAGCTTCTTACAGTAAATGATGCAGTCAGTATAAACAGAATGTATGAATGAAGCAGATAAGCCATGGTCTGAGAAGTATGATAGGAATGCTGACAACAGTTAAGACTACCTGTGCCAGGGTCATTCTCATGGCACTGACCGGCGACGGTTCAATGTCCACCAACTGCTGCACCGAGCTCAGAGTCTGGCACACACACACACACACACACACACAAATAGACATCCAGGCATCCGCAGACCACACACCCAAAGAGCAGCAGTGCAAGCACACAGACAGACAAACACAAGGAGCGATTAGTGGAAAAAAAGTTTAGGGAAAAACTGTTAGCAAAGCTTGAACAGGAACAGGAAGACACAAAGAAGGAAGAGAACATTGTTACAGAGAAAACTGTTAGAACACTTGAAACAAGGCAAAAGATCAGAGGCAAGGAGAAACTGGCAGAACCCAGAGAGAGAAAGAGAAATGTAGAGAAAGGAGAGTGCACAATATGACTCAGACACAGGAGAGAAGGATACTACTCTAGAAAGGTATTAGAAACAGTGTCCAGTGAGAGCAATTTCTTTTTTTAGCCAGAAAGACTTAACAAGTCCCCGAAGAGGAGAAGAGAGGAGACAGCATGATTCCCACTGCTCCATTCCGATCACACAGACTGTGATCACTTGACAACAATTTAAAATATTTGTAGCATTCAGCAACCAATTGAATTTAAATGATTAAATTAGCTTGCGTAAATGACAAAAAAAATCCCAGGCTAGAAAGATACGCTCCCAACGGACACGCAACATCTGAACACAGAGCCGATTCATGCATCTTTCACGTTGTCAGCAGACATTAGTTAACTGGGCAACTCCATCTGAAACTGTTAACATAAAGAAATCCCCAAAGTCTGGGAACAAAAGGCCCAAAGATATCTCAAGAGAAAAAAGGGCGATCACAGCTTTGGCTCACGGATTTTTAACTTGGCAGGTCTCTCAGCCCCAGATGTTTTAATGTGACTCTCTAAATCAGAACTGCGGTAAATGAATTCTGTTTCATCACTCAACTTAAGGATTTAAGCAACATTTTATACACATAAGATATTAGAGAGGACAGAAAACACAGGATGAAAGGAAAGCCCACATGGCTGGCTGCTGTCTGTGTGTGGGAGTTTGTGCGTATGTATGTATGTATGTGTGTGTGTGAGTCAGCAAGTGAAGTGGAGTGACAGTCCTGCTGTGAACAGGTTTATATACAAACAATCTAAGTACTAGTGATACATGAGTATTAATCCAGGAGATCTGTGTGTAGCTGTGTGAGTCTCACCGTGTCACATTCACTGGGCTGGAACTGGAAGTCGTGCGCTTTGTGAAACACCGGATTCTCTTGCATGAACAACTGCTGGTTGTACTCCTGCATTATCTGAAAGAAAGAGAGAAGGAGATCTTTAATCCAGTACATTTTGCATGCAAGTTTGGTGCTGTGTAAACCCGACAATACAAGAGTCTGTTGAACTTCATGTGTGACGAGGCTTCTGCTCCCTTCGAGGATGCAAACGACAATTTTTTTTCCCACTGCCGCATCTGAAGCCCAAAGTGGGTGAGTGTTTCATATTCATGCATACATTTGTGGGTTCATATTTTGACTTTAGAGAGATTAATTTTTCGGTCCAAGAGGGATATGGTTCAGAAGTTAAGTCGAGTTTCTGAAGACATAACATTCAAACCAAAGCTAGTGTGAGTGTAGTTTAGGATGAGACCCGAAACCAGTGAGAAACTGTCCCACACAGGAAGCAGCTAGAAGCGATGTGGTGAGCAAACAATCCTGAAATACAGTGACATTCAGTAAAATGGCAACATGCAAAATAACCCCTGATAATGCGTTCGGGTCCTGAAGTTAACATTTCACAATTTGCCTGTGACTACATGCTGTGTTAATCAAAAACAGTCACTGTGTTGTGTCTTTCTTGCACAGTTAAAGTAGAATAGAAACCACATCATGCAACACAAAAGGTACACACAGCTGCTCCCTTATTCACACAGGGTCACAACAGAAGGTAGCTCTATCTTTGATTTGACAGATTTTTACACCAGATTTCCTTCCTGACACAACCCCAAAATGATTCGTGCCTACTTCTGCAACAGAACTGAAGATCTGCGTGTGAGGTGGCTGTGCAAACCACTAAACTGCAGACAGACACAAAGAAATTAAAGAAAGAAAATAACAGAAAGAAAAAGACTGCTGAATGTCAAAACACTTTCAGTGGGTTCCATAGAAATGTCTTACCACAGATTCAAAAAGCATATTTTTGTATTGTCTGACTCACCCTGGTGGATTTGTCCAAAAGGAACTGATACGTGTTGTGTGTAGCCTGGGAGGCCTCAAGCTCAGTGCGACAAAGTGCCACCAGGTAGTCTTTGACGTGCTCATAGATTCTGCCGTCCAAGGCCTAGAAGACAGACAGAGAAAGACAGGAACCAGGGGTTACACTGAAGCATGGATGAATTCAATGTAATTCCACAATCCTTAATAATAAAGCAGAGAGGACAAGGGAATCAGGAGGAGACACTAAGAAATAGACAAAAAGAACAGAATGTGAATAAGCGTTGCTAGTTTGTCGTAAACTCAAATTAAATCTTGTGTTTAGATAGCCATAAATGTACCGTGATTTTGTTGCATAATCTACTGATGCACGTCTATGTTTAAAAAATCATATTTGAGGTCCATAGCCCAGAGATTACACTATAACTGATTGACAGCTCCCTTGCTTTTGTGTTATTTTTGTTGCATTTGTTGGGTGGGACAATTTCCTCTGTTAATGATTGTTTCTGTTATTGCATAAGCTACTGTGTAGCAGGACTAAATCAACGGAAACGTCTTGTGTGGAAGGTAATTTCAAGCTTTATTTTATGATAAATTTCACTAGAACACACCCCAAAACATGCAAAATACATACAGGACATACAGTCAAATTGAACAGAAATAGAGTCCAGCATAGCAAAGCCCACTTCTGTTACAAACAAACACGCCTCACTCGCATCGCCGCCTCCCATGGCGTACTGTATATTATAACTTTAAATGCAGTATATGGCATGTTTCCATGGGCCATTAAAAAGGATTTTATGAAAAACACTAAACTAAAAAAGGAAGAGGTGAAAAAGTGAAGAGAAAGATGGTGGGAAAATATAAAGAGGTGAGAGGGAGGGAACGAAGTCACAGGAAGGCCCAAAACCACGCAGATGTTTTTATTTAACAACTGTTAACATTAGCGTTTCTGATGCACGGATATAAAGACATTTTAATGAAGTATGCAGTCCAAGTGAACAGCCTTTCTATGGGCAGCCGGGATACTGCTGCCAAGCTGTAGGCAACGCTGCCAAACAGACAGAGAGCGGGGCTAACGGAGGGGAGGAGGAGAGGAAGAAGAGGGGAAGGGAGAGCATTTTGAAAAGGTATAAAAGGTATTAGTGGGTGAGAGCAAAAAAGAGAGACTTACTGAAAAAAATGTGTTTATGGGACACGAGTGTGTGTGTGAGTGAGTATGTGAGTGTGTTCTTTGGATGGTGTTCTCACAGCTGCAGAGGAAGGTGAAGGGGTTCAGATTCCAATTCAACAAAACACAGAGAAGGCACACACACACAGACATCAGTGATCAAATGCTCAGAGACACACACATACACGCACTCCTCTGGCCAAAGTCTCAGAAACGTGCACACACTATTCTAACCAGCGGATCATTTAGGCCAAGTCTGCAGCCTCCAGCTAACACCTACGTCTGTCTCCTTCTTATACAGACAAACACATTTAAAAAAACAACATAAAACCCACAACCCACAGCATTCACACACAACACAGCCTCAAAAACAATGGGATATTGACAAGGACATTATGTCATTAAGGGTGGGTTGCTGGCTGACTCCTCTCTAAATGTTCCCTCATCATTCTGGTCATTTCCTCCTCCCCCTTTCTTCTCTTCCTCCCCTCCTTTTTTCATCCATTTACGGTAGTGTTGAAATGAAGTGAGTCAGCTTCCAGAAAAAGCCCCGTCCGTCCCTATACCATGGCCAGTGGATGTGTGTTTATGTGTGTGTGTCTGTGTTTGGGTTGAATGACTGCCTCAGTTGGAACAATAAGGGCAGCACAGGGGAGCAGACGGGGCAGCAGAGGTGCAAGTGTGAGGGTGTGTGGTTGTGTGTGTCAATGTCTAGCCGGCAACTTTAAAGACCGACATTAATAACAGCATATACTGCTGACAGCAGAGGGAGACGTTGAGCAGTCGGTTCTTCCTCTGCCCTTTCACTACAGCTGTCGCATTGACAAGGACGGCTCACCTATAAGATTTAAGTTATTACCGCAGCCTCACTACAACTCTCAGTACAGTCAGTATTTATGAAGGGAAGATTTGATCTAAACAAGGCTATCAATTACAAGTCTCCTCACCTATCATCCCCAGAGAAACTATTCTATTATCCTTCAGTCATCTATTTCACACTTAATCATTTTCTTTTCTCAGATGACCTAGGAAGGAAGGAAGCCGATTCTTACCACTATAACTCAATTAATCTCAAACATTTCATGGGATAACTACAATATCTGTTGAACATGGAGATGAAAAGGCCCCAAAAGCATACAGGAATGCATTCATGGAAAAGATTTCACGCCTTCCTTGAACTGCAGAGAGAACTCATACATTCACAAGTGCTGATATTTTCAGGTAAACACCACAAATGAATCAGCACAGGAAGGAGAGGGAGGACAGACAGCTTGCTTCCTTCTAGCAATGTCCCTCATTCTCTGTGTGTGTTTTCATGCGCATATTTGTGTATGTGCATATTTCCCTGCAGTCCTGTCCTTCTGTCACAAGAAGCTAAGGATCTATTATTCAGAATGGCCTCGTAGTATAGATGCTCATGAACGCCTAAGGCAGAGCATGCGAGAGTGAGGAGAGAAGACAGAAAAGAAGATGGGAGAAGAAATAAACAAGGACTCAAAAGCCAAGAAACAGAAGAAAAAAACTTACATTTTATTTAATACTATTGAAATCCTGAGTACATACCATTTAACTGATGGTCAGACAAATGAGAAAAACAAGAGCAATAAAGCTGCAGATGTAAAACAGACCAACATGTGTGTCTATAACAGAACTACCATAATCAGTCACGCCTGAGGATTTTTCATGCTGAAGAATTAAGCAATTGTCAATCAGACGCTTTCCAGATAGTACTGCACAGTGGGTTAAAATCTCATTATGCTTTTCTATGTTCATAATTCCACAAATTTTAACAAGACACCCAACACCACTGGCTGAAATGCAGCTTCAAACCATGACAGTTTTACCGATGGCTGTAGACACTCACTTGTCGTGCATTTTCCACTCTGGACTACTGATTCTCAGTCCAGTTGTTGTGAAATTTGGCACATCTTTTTCTCCCTTCCTTAACAATGTTTGTTGACAGCCACCCTTTCTACTGAGACACTTCTTTTGAGGCTTTAGTGAACAGTAGAGAATAGACCAATTGAAGTGTCAGATGCATCTCTCAGGTCCTGGGTTTGGATTTTTCACATTTCTTTAAGAAATAACTTTCAGATACTGTTCATCTGCTATAGGCAGTTTTGACACACCATGCTGAGATATGCCAAGTTTTCATCTAATAGATCTCTGGAAATCACTTGTTAGAGCAAAAATGCTCTAACGTGTCTGTGTTATCTTTGGCATTTTTAATAGATTCAACACAAGAAACTGGAACAAATGATGTTTTGTGACATACTACTAGTAACAAATTGCTTAAAAAAATGTAAAAATTGGTTTCTTTTCATCCCTTGAGTTAGGTTCTGTTTTGTGCTTGAATGTTTCATGAAAATGGTCAAGTAAAAGTAATGGACTGAAAATTTGTGAAAAAGCAGCCAGAGAAACTTGAAAAAGACCTTCAGACATCCTGGAGAACTATTGCTCGAGAACACTTTAAAAATTCCAAGAAATTCTGGCTCTTTGAAGGCAAAATATAAGGAAACATATGATGTTTCGAGACTTTTGCTTTATGTGTTGTATCTGTGAGCATGTTAGCCCATGTTTGTACAACAGAGTAGCTAGGCTGTAAGTGAATTACAGACTGGGATTTTTGTTTGTGTATTTTCATACAGATCATAATTAAAGCAGTATCACAACTGAAACAGCTCAGCAAGATATTATTGTGTCTGATTAAGACTGGGCTTAACCACCTTTTGTATTCAATCATCTTAGCAGTTTAAAATAAAAGACCAAAGACAAAAGAACGTCTTTTTTGATATTCCATCAGCTGAAAATGATAATTTCCTGGCCACCGATGATTTGGTTTAAGTTGACATTAGCATGGCTCACTTTTCTTCACATAAGCCCCTTTCAAATCGTAAATCCGCACAACGCTGCGACTTTCTTTGAAGACTCAAAACTGTGAAATCAACACTTTTTCGTGTGTGATATTTCCCTACAAGCTATTTCACTGACAGTGAATGGGAGTCTGACTTTGTGGACTCATGAAAGGAACACATTTTCCCAAAACGGAACTTAGATTCAAAGCTCCCCAATTTATATTCTGAAAACAGAAAAATGCTTCCTCATTCCCGTCCAAAAAAAAAAAAAAAAGAATCCCTCCGGATATTATCCAAGGGAGGCTCTTAAGTCAGTACTTGATCTAGTAAAGCAAAATATTGCAACAGCATTAAAATCTCGAGTCTTTAATGTTGGCTTTGTGTTTTCACTTTCACACCACTTACCTCATTCATTTCCTTTCTTTCATCTTTCTATATTTACCTGTATGCAGTGCAGCAGATCTGTATGGTAGTAGCGATCGTGGTGAGCATTGGCAGCAGCTAGCGTTAGCAAGTAGTCATTCCTGGCCTGTGTCGCCTTTGAGTTACAGTCACTTCTTTTTGCTTTCAACTTCAAAAAACAGACAGAAAAAACGTGTATAGTGTTACTACTTGTTTTTAAATAATTGTTCAAAGTAATACATCTGAAAGCCCTGCCTAAACAAGCCGCTGTTATGTTTCAGGTTCTTACCTTCACACTTGCTTTCTGTAAACTAATTCTTGACTGAAAAAGACCCAGTTTAGACCTGAAAAAGACAAAAAACAAAACAATAATAAGTATCTAATTTTATTTTATTTTTTTTAAACACTGTAAACTTTTTGTGTATTCACATTTTTAAATTTAACATGTCAAGTAAAAGACGACAGAAGGGAAGATCCAAGGATTTCTACCACATCTCCATCCTCTGATTCAGACCAGACTTTATAGACGAACCCTGGCCTGAGCAGAGCGAGACTTGACAGTGATGAATGTGAGCCTGATCCAGACACTCATTTGTATCAATGACAGAGAGAGCCTGTCTCCTCCCGGCATGTGTATCCGTGCGCATGAGCGCAAAAACATTAAAAAAAGCATGTTTATTTCGATTAAATCTAACACTCCCCGATGCAAATGCTTCAGTGTGTAATTTTCTCTGCCAGTTCCCCGCGCGAGAGTACCTGTAAAATGCTTCTACTTAAGTCCTACTTTACACCCCGAGTGCTGTTAAAAATAACATTCACACCAATTTATTCCTGTGTGTTCCTTGTGCCTCGCCATTTTTATCCTCTCAAACACACACGCATGTGCATACTCTCCAATAATGGCACACAGGCGATACAGTTATTTCCATCGCTGCTACTTTCTACTGAGCGATAGAGAACAGAAAAGAGTAGATTGGCCAATCGATGTGAGCGCAAACCAAGGGTTGAGAATTCAATGAAGTGAAAATGTCACCATAGCTACTGCTACCAAGGGATGGGAGGAAAACAACACTCATCAGCTCCAGATCAAACTCTGGAACTAATTGTGAGACTGCAAAGCTTCAAGATTTGAATTCTTAGAGCAGAAACAGGTCAGGTGGCTGTTCAATCAGAAAGCCTCTTAAGCTTGGAAGGTAATAAAAAAGTAAAAGACAGACACCAGGGTCACAGGAAAAAAGTGCTTTCAATCAACATCAACATTACTCTCTATATATCTGCTGGAGCTATGCTTCAAATTAATTAATAATATCAAATTAACATCGTTTAGATGTGGTTAGCTGATTCATCAAAACTAAAGTCAGTCAATGTTTCCACACTATTCTTTACTGTTCCTCTGTTGTTGTTTTCATGTCTTTTCGTCTGTATTTTTTCTCTCTCTTTCAAACACCTGTGTATGTTTATGACTGATTGCTTCTTTCATCCTCGATGACAATGTTTTTCCCTTTCTTTATCTCTCTCCAAACAAAAACACACACACATTCTCCTTATGAGGTTAACCAGCTTCACTCTCTTGATTGCATTCTCCCTCACCATGGAGACCATCTGTTTAGTCACACCATTTTTATATATTTACCAAGAAGTGTGGTAAATTAAAGAAAAATCCAACATAAAGTTTCTAAGTAAGACAAGTGTAGGGAGACAGGATTTACCACCAGTAGACTTTGGGTGTGACTTGATATTTAGGAGGACTCTTCTCTCATTTTGGTGTTATGATACACGGTTGTGTAAAGCGCTCTCTTGAGCTTTATTCACACAGGCCTAAACATCCTTCAGTGACCCACAGGCAGTAAATAGGTGAAATGGGTCTCAAAGAGGTGCTACACCGAAAACCTTGCAATGTCTTTCGTTGCTATCAGTTTGCTGCAGTCACCTGTAGGTTGCACAGAAATGAACTAAAGCTAAAAAGTGTGGCGCAATCTACGCTATATTGCTAAAAGTATTCCCTCGCTCACCCAAATCAATGGATTCAGGTGTTCCAGTTACTTCCATTGCCACAGGTGTATAATATCAAGCCTCTAGGCATGCAGACTGCGTCTACTAATATTTGTGAACGAATGAGTTGCTCTCAGGAGCTCAGTGAATTCCAGAGTGGTACCGTGATAGGACACAACCTGTGCAGTAAGCCTAGCACTGAAATTTCCTCACTACTACATATTCCACAGTAAACTGTTAGTGGTGTTATAACAAAGTGGAAGCGACTGGAAATGACAGCAACTGAGCCATGAAGTGATGAACCCTTCCTGTTCCAACATGACTGCGCACCAGTGCACAAAGCAAGGTCCATAAAGACATGGATGAGTGAGTCTGCTGTGGAAGAACTTGAATGGCCTGCACAGAGTCCTCATCTCAACCCGCCAGAACAACTTTAGGATGAATTATGAGTGGAGACTGCGGGCCGGCCCGTCTCATCCAACATCAGTTTCTGACCTCATAAATGTGCTTCTGAAAGATTGGTCAAAGGTTCCCATAAACACACTCTTAATCCTTGTGGAAAGCCATCCCAGAAGAACTGAAGCTGTTATAGATGCAAAGGGTGGGCTGACTGACATCATATTAAACCCTATGGGTTAAGAATGGGATGTCACTCAAATTCATATGCATATGAAGGCAGAGGAGTGAATACTTTTGGCAATATAGTGTATGAATGTTTTCTTTGTATAATTGTCTTTACCTTAAAATATAAAGCACCTTGAGGCAACTGTTGCTGTGATTTGGTGCTAGATAAATACAATTGAATTGAACTGAATGGTAACCATCAAAGTAATAGTTGGTTGAAATCTGTTGGTCACATCAATAAGATGAATTGAGAAATCAGTGTCTTCAATGCAAAGAAAACACAACCCTCAAGCAATCAAAGCAATCCCAAAGAAGTTTTTGGTGCAGCATCCTCTTTGCAACCGATTTCATCTAAATCTGGTAACTGCACCGCTCAAAATCAAAGACAATAAAAAATTAGAACAGCTTTGTATTGATTTGCAAGTGGACCCAACTCGTGCCAGGCAAATATGTGCCCTCCACAGCATAACAGGGACACCAGATCCCCTCACTGAAACTGACTTGGCAACTACCTGAAAAGCCCTACACACACACACGTGCACAGTGTTGCGGCAGACTTACTTCGCCTCGATGTCGGCCTTCTCTCGTATAGCGTGGGCAACCTGCTCGCAGTCGTAGTATTTTTTCTTAGCTTTGGCCAACTCCTTCACTGACTCCTGCAGCTCTGCTTGAATGCCGCTCAGCTGATCTATTGTCTGTGAAAAGGGAAAAAGACAACAGGCATATGTTTGAAGAACAAGCAGAACAACATGAAGTTAACTCTGAGCAAGCACATTGGAAAGATGCAGCAGCAACAGAGCACAAATACTGCTTCAGGAAAAAAATGACCAACTCACCTTTTTAAGCTGCTGCTCCTTGTACAGTCTAACAGTCTTAGCGGGCTCTGATACTTGACTCTTGTAATTGTCGCATACATTGAGCCTGGACTGGCTCACCTGGACTGTACCTTCTAAATAGGACCTCCACACTGCATACACATTCCTAGTAGGAGAGAAAAAGCACTGAGTGCTGGAAAGTTTCTGCAGCTGGATTATTTAATTAATCCAATATCCATTTTCTTGGATATTGGACACGTTTTTTAAAATGTGGGTTTTAAAAAAACTGTGTGAGCAGGGAACCACAAGGGGAGAAAATTTGTGTCGCAATGCATTATTTCTGTTTGTCAGAATAACTTAGATCCAACTTCAAGTCTTCTATTTCAGTGCCTCTGTTACAGTAAATAATGACTCATAACTGTGCTGTAGACCATGACGATTTTTTTCTAGAATATTGAACGACTCCAGCACAGTATAATTTCAGCCTTCATGTGAACACTGCAGCTGAAATAAATTTGTAGATGATGCAAGAAGACAAAGTAGCTTCCAGCTCCTAATTTTATGTAATATGTGCATTTTTCTGTGTCATATGCACACACACAAACCTACCTATAGTCTGTTCTCTGGTCATCAGGGTTGATTCCAGGCCAGTCTCTCTTTAGGTACTGACTCGCTAACTTCTGCAGAGCCTGAAAGCACAAGAGCACAAAAATGGGGAGCTGGGAACAATTAAGGACCATCTAGCTCCTATTGTCTGATTAATGAATCCCTGCCAAATCCCCGGAGAAGATGCTTTTGATGTTATAGGAAACATGCAGACTGTTAGAATAAAATGAATTACAAGTTTGTGAACTGCACTGAGTCAGCTCACTTGCACCCAGTCATTCAGATGAGAGAAACAGTGTCTAATGTTTGGAATTCATAGCGAATAAAATACATTCAAATCTGCAACTTGACAGAAAATGCATTCACTGTTATCATTATGCAAGAAAAAGGAACGTATGGTGAAGATGGGCGGTTGGATTTTTATTTCTGTACAGTGGATGTTTTACAGTTTAGTTTGGGTATCAGTGCACAAAACAATAGACCGGCTTTGTATCAGTAAATCCGAGTCAGTTCCCGAGAAACCTGAGGGCTACAAGAAAGGGTAACCTACATCTTCCAGACTGGGTCACTGTGTCAGTAACAGTGACTCACAAACGCTCTGTCCTCGTGTCCCTGTGTTTACGTTCGTAGGGATGGGTAGCCTTAATAAAAGAATCCCTACTAAAATACAGTCAAGACAGTTTGAGTTTCAAGGTAAATACTCCAATCCTCAAAGCCACCTTCTTCCCTTTATCTTTTTTATCAAGCTTCCAGATCTGCATGTAAATCTGATATCATTCCTCTTTACAAATCTCCTCCTTGTTATCCTAAATCACCAACACTTCCCTCTCTCTCCATGCTTCACCCTTCATCACTTACATTATGATTCTCAAAAGGCCTATTTTTAAATCTAACTATTGCCCCCCCACAATCCCCTTACACCCAATTGCATTTACACATATACACATCCCTTCTGTGCTCTTTTTTTCTAATACCATGCTATTGAGCTCTCTTTTACTTTTGTCTCTCCCATTATAACATACGCAACAGAATTACTCTGTATCTCTCTTTCTCATCTTGCTTTTTTTCACCTTTCACAGATGGTGACTGAGGCCATCAAAGAACAGTTCTTTCTCTAGTTTCCTGGACCAGATATTTGTTTCCCTCCAGCTGACACACAAGCTTGTGTCCTGGGGGAGACTGTGGCCTAGTGACCCCTGGCATCCACTGTCTAAAAACCTCATAAAGAAAGGGAGAATAACTCTTTTATGAAGAAAAAAGAAAAAAACAGCATTATCTCCTAAATGTCTTAACTGGAGTGAACTAAGCATGTTTTGTAGTACATGACATGCAGTGAGTAGATTAATAAAGAGAGTCCAGGTTTAGTTTTATTATCTATTTGTGCCTTTATTTTGCACAAATAAAGGAAAGATAAAGAAACAGCAAAAGCAAAATAAACGAATGGGCAAGATTACTGGCATCAGCAACCTTGTGTCATGAACATATAAAGATCAAGAACAGTCATCCTCGCTCTCTTTTTCTCACTCTTACCAACAGGCTGCAGTGGATCTGGATGGCACTTTTACTTTGAAGCCAACATTCTCCATTTCTGGTTTGTGTTGGACTTTTAACAGTTTCACTGTGGCAAGTAGTTTACAAGTATTTGCAGATAAGTCAACACCTTCATGCAAACTATGGGCAACCTTGGGAATCTGCTAACTACTAATTGCAATTAGGTTTTCGGTTCAGCACCATATACCCTTTTACAACAGATTTCACACTAGTGACGGCAACCTGCAGAAACCACTCCCCAACTGGTTACCAGGAAGTCACTTACCAGTCTAGGCCTTCGTGGTTAAGGCTTTAGCAATTGATTTCACACCGACGATTACCAGAACCCTTCACAGCTGGTCAGGTAATATTCATTTTCACATAGCAACCGGTGGTCACCGACTGCTGCCTGAGGCCTCAAAGAAATCTCTCTGAACGCCAAACTGCTCAAACAGTCTGATTAGACACTCATCTGCAGAACTTTCCAATACCAACAAACTAACATTCACGCCCACTTCACATGAGGATTATCCATCTGTCCAGCACAGTGAAGACAGGCTGCGTTTGAACCTCTCTTCCTTTTTCACTCTTGTTACAACTCCACATCTCTTGTTACAGTATCACATCTCTCTGCTACTGCAGCTCTTAATCCACTCCACACTGAGGCCACCCATATGGAAAAGTAACGGAGAGAAACATTGTACTACCAGATGGGATTCTAAATTTTTTTTTTAATTGTTTGTATTTCTTTTCCATATGTGCATCCATAACAACATAAAGAGCTCCGGATTTCTGACTTGATCTGTGGTTTGTTTCTAGTGAAGAAATTCTTTGCACTGCACTGTAACAGCTAGGAGATAGAGGATGTTATGCCATAGAACCGTCAATAAAGCTATTAAACTACATTTTGACCTCCAGCTGTCTTCAGAATGAAGACAACCCATCACTTCGGTAAGAACAGGACATTCTTACATTCAATATGAACCTGTGGGCAAATTCACACTTAAACAAATCTGAACTTACCATTTGTTTAAAGGTGAGAGTGCCTTTGAAAGCAAGCCAAAACATAAAGTTGCAGGAGTAGCCATTTCACTATTAGACATTGACCACCTGCATGTCCTTGCTCCAAACCTTTTTTTTATGCCAGCACACAACTTGGAGCCTCTTAGATCAGCCTACAGAGCTGTTATCAAAGTAAGAGCAATGACTGAATGGTGAGAAGGACACTGACTGACTGATATGTGAAAGCTTACCTAAGGTGCTCTTGGCCTATTAGGAGGATGCTCTTCAGTTACTCCTGGCTCATCTTTTTATTCCAACCGCTCTTGCTACAGCCTCTCTTCCCCCCTTCCTCTCTATTTTCATGCAGTATGCTTTGTTCCTTTCCATTTTTTTCTCAATCTCTCTCTCACACTCTCTCCAGCTTCCTTCTATTCATTTTCTACAGGACATCTCATCCCTCCATCCTCCGTTCTCTGCTGTCATCACCTGACAACCACCTGAACAGCATGTTGCCATAGCAACTCCTCTGCCCTCCCTATGTGGTCTTGGTGAAGTAGAAATGCTCCCTTTAGTAGTGTGTCTTTATGTGTGTGTATGTCACATTCACACACACACACACACACACACACACACACACACACACACACACACACACACACACACACACACATATATCCTGTTTTTGTGATCAGAGTGGCAAAACAGGGTACCCAGACTGGAGGATATCCTGTGTGTGTGTGTGTGTGTGTGTGACAAACAAAGGAAAATTGAAGGAAGAAGGAGAAAGGCTAAGTTCTGCGTATTTTAGGCATATGAGCTAGTAGGCTTTGCTAAACATCCAGTAATTACACTTGTTATTATAAACATGTGAGTTTGCACACCACTTTTAAAGTCATTACCTCATGTAGGGCATGTGAAAAGGTGAAGGACTCACCCAACTGGACATTAAACTGTATTTAACCAGCCAGCTCGTGTGATGTTCAGGTGCAGCGATTTGTGCCAGTGTGAGAAAAGAGCAAATAACAGCCACAGCTAGCGAGAGGTCGCCCTGCGATACGTATCATGAAAGCTCTACTCATCCAGCACCTAAATCAAACACAGCTCTTCCAGTACCCAGAATGCAGCTGACGCATCACCTGCCGTGGGCTACACAGAACTACCACACAGGCTGTATTGTTAGGGACAGATTATTTGCAACTGTTTGAAATTTTGACAGTCCCTGTGTTACTTTGACAAGAAGTAAGGCAATACACCAATAGCCTTGCAGGACTGATCAATTATTTTTGATAAGTGTGTTTTGAGAACACTCCTGTTTTTAGAGCTGCAGACTAGTGCTTTATTTACTTAGTATCGATCTGATACCAAGTAAATACTGTACCAGTATTGCTGAGTTTAAACTCCGCATGAGTTTGTAAATCAACAGCTTAAAACATGAGGTTTTGAATGTAAACACATAAGAATTAGCATATTTCAATATGTTTGGGCTAGTAATCATTTTATTAAACAATGCACATCCTGCTACATCTCTCTCTCATCTCTAGAGAAAAATGATATCATGGTGATAACTGGTCTTTTTTTCTTCCTCAATCCCATTATCTTTATCACTCAACAGCTCTTGTGGTGAATGACTGATTGTTAAAGTTTTATTTGGCAGAGTGTCTGGAAATCAGATGAATATGAGCTCTGAGTCAGAGTAAAATGAGCATGATAAAATGATTCCATATGCTGCAAAAACAAGCATCAAAAACTAGCTTTTTATAATGTTTGTCTAATAATAATGCTAGCAGGTAGCATGCACCCCATACTCTGACATATTTAGCTGACTCATAATAGCGTGAATCCCCCACGAACCACCGCACTCTCCCTCCCAACAATGTCCAGAGTGGCTGTGTGAAAGAGGTACTGATTACAGGACAAAGTGTGATGACACAACTGTTACTCACTGGTAGGAATGATGACTGTACTTTATCTAAAGTATTAACGGTCGCACCCAAAATTTGTCCGGAGGGCTTTAAACTCTCAGAAATAACTCATGATTACACTTGAGTGACTGCGGAAAGAGGAAGTGATGTCACCCAGTAAGAGCATATGTTAAAGTTATAATCTACAGTGGGGCAAAAAAGTATTTAGTCAGCCACCGATTGTGCAAGTTCCCCCACTTAAAATGATGACAGAGGTCAGTAATTTGCACCAGAGGTACACTTCAACTGTGAGAGACAGAATGTGAAAAAAAAATCCATGAATCCACATGGTAGGATTTGTAAAGAATTTATTCGTAAATTAGGGTGGAAAATAAGTATTTGGTCACCTCAAACAAGGAAAATCTCTGTATGAATGGCACCTGTTTGAACTCATCATCTGTATAAAAGACACCTGTCCACAGCCTCAAACAGTCAGACTCCAAACTCCGCCATGGCCAAGACCAAAGAGCTTTCGAAGGACACCAGGAAAAGTATTGTAGACCTGCACCAGACTGGGAAGAGTGAATCTACAATAGGCAAGCAGCTTGGTGTGAAAAAATCAACTGTGGGAGCAATCATCAGAAAATGGA